GATATTCAAATTTTTTGAGATGCACCTGTATATATATATATATATATATATATATATATATATACAGTATATAATTTAATTAATATTATAAAGTCATTAGTATTGTATAATAAACTATATCAAATAATAAATAAAATATATTTTTTACATTATTTAAATTACCTATTAATTTAAAATTATTTTTACGTTTTGAAAGCAATACCTAAAAAATTAATTTTAAGTTTGAATAGTGTTATCACTGGATGACATCACTTGAAAAGATGCAGTCAGAATAAGTAAAATATAAATTACTCTTACAGCCATTCATATGCTGGAACACACTACCACACAAAAACTTTTCTTCTCCGCAGCCCATGCATGAAGCCCTTCTATTTTCTTAAAAGATCACGCACACCATCTCATGCAATCTATCACATCACTTCAGCCTGAGAGAGCACAGGAGAGAGCGAGAGACTCAAAAATAACCCTAAAGAACACAATGCCTGCAACTGGCCTCTTTTAGCCTCTCTCTCTTTTTCCTTCTTCCCTTCTTTCTCCCTCTCTGTGATTATGTATAAGGCTTCAATTTCCAGTATATTGTAAAGGTTTAAATTGCTGTCTGATTTCACTAGGGCCATATTTTATTCTTTTTGAAGTGACAAGAAAAGAAGTGATTACTTCCATCTGCTCTCAGGCATGCACACACATATATACATATGAAATATAGTAAGTAGCAAAACAGCCTGTAGCTTCGCACAAATACTGTCAGAGCTCTCAGGAGCCATGAAGACTCAAATCAGCCAATCTCCAGTGTTCCTGCTGTTACTATAGAGACAGCTTGCATCAGGATGGAATGAAGGAAGCATGTGAACTTGTCTGTGTTCACAGAACAGAGCTCACATGCTGGAAACAGAAAAGCCCTTCTGCTGCTGAAATAGGTCACTAGAATGCAAGTAATTCAGCTAATTCAAGGTGGAATATGTATTTTATAAATAAATATATTTGCCACCATAAATGCAATAAAAAATGGGTTTCATTGAAATGTAATAAAAGTAAAAATAGTAGTAAATTTCACAGTAAACATGCAAAGATGTTGTAAAATTCAATATATTTTGAAGGATTACCATTATTTAAAAAATAAATAAATGTTACCTCAAATAATTACTTTAGGTCATCATAGGGGTTCAACCGACACATTTATGAACCCCTGATGTAAAGGGATCAGCTGCACTGATGGCTCCATCTGAATTTAACTGATTTTCCCCAAACAATGGTGCAGAAAATAAGGAAAAATCTGCAGATTGGCCTGCTCGTGGTGACCCATAACTCACCTACAGTTCATCTATTATACAGCCATCTGTGCAGAGGTATGTAGGAAAACTCTAGGAGGACATATGTGGTAAATCATAACTATGCAGGACTTATGCAATAGCAAATATAGCAAATAAATAAGCAAATATTTCTCAGCTGACTACTATTGCCTGCGCCCATATGGACCACAAGATAATATATGAATGACCATGTATACCTCCTGCTGTGAGTGTGTGTGTGTGTGTGTGTGTGTGTGTGTGCGTGCGTGTGTGTGTGTGTCTAGAGCCAAAACAGAAGACCAGAAGCTTATGGCAGTTTGTTCAGATGGGTAAGGAGAATGCCATTCTGACCCTTTGGGAAGGAACCACACGATGAACACTTGCGCAGACAAGCACACACAGTACCCTGTCGTCTCACACAAATGCTTGTAAACACAAACTCAAGAACAATTTTCAGGATACTGAACTGTAGAGACATGCTATCTATTTTAACTGTGTGCACTTTATCCTCAAAAATAGCTAGTTTTCTTGTAGACCTTGTCTAAGTCTAAATAAATAATCATTTCAGCTGTAATTAAAAGAAATACTCAAAGTTTTGATTTGATCTACAACTGCTGTTGCAGTTATGTTGCTGCTTTGCTTACATACTGCTTTTGTCTGGTATAAAAAGTGATTTTTTAAAAAAGTTTTGTGTTCTACGTGCTTGATCTCACTTTCCATTTGGGCGGCGTTATGCAAATCTTCCCAGATCGTGACGTAGGTATGTGGGGGCGTGTTAGAACGAGCCGTTTTAGGTAGGCGTGGTTAACTCTTAACTTTTATAAAGAATATCTCTTTGGTTTTGAGACTTTAGTGTTTGCAACTTTACAGATCTTCTTTATGCACCAAGAGCTTGTAACACTCCAAAGAGAAAGGAAACATTGAAATCGCATCATATGACCCCTTTAAGGTATTTCTGGTGCTTTTTGAAGCTTATAAACCCTTATAAACCCTCTTTTTGTGTTACACAGATTTGAAACAAGGTCCAAAACAACTATGTCTGTAACCACAA